GAAAACCTGCAAACTCATGGAAACTGAACCATGTGAAATTGCACCACACCTGGGTCAAAGAAGAAATACAGAAAGAAATTAAGGACTTTCTAAAATTCAACGAGAATGAGGACAAAACACACCTGAACTTAAGGGACACCTTGAAAGCAGTATTACGAGGGAAGTTCATTGCACTAAGTGCACATATGAAGAAAACAGAAGATAGTCACATAAGAGAATTAACAGCACAGCTGAAAGCCTTAGAACAAAAAGAAGCAAATTCACCCCGGAGGAGTAGACGCCAGGAAATAATCAATTTGAGGGCTGAAATCAACAAAATAGAAACCAGGAAAACAAAAAACAAACAAAAAAGAAATCAATGAAACAAAGAGTTGGTTTTTTGAGAAAATCAACAAGATAGACAAACCTTTATCCAAACAAACGAAAAAGCAGAGAAAAAACATGCAAATTAATAAAATCAGAAATGAAAAGGGGAACATAACAACGGACACAGAGGAAATCCAGACAATTTTCAGGTCATACTTTGAAAACCTGTATTCCACAAAAATTGAAAATTCAAAGGATATGGACAAATTTCTGGGTAACTATCACTTACCAAAATTAAATCAAGAACAGACAAACAACTTAAATAGACCCATAACCCGCAATGAAATAGAAGCAGTCATTGAAAGCCTCCCAACTAAAAAAAGCCCAGGGCCACATGGCCTCAATGCTGAATTCTACCAGACATTCAAGGAAGAACTAATACCAATATTCCTCAAATTGTTCCACACACTAGAAACAGAAGGTTCATTGTCAAACTCTTTCTACGAGGTCAAAATAACCTTGGTACCCATGCCTCACAAAGACACAACTAAGAAAGAAAACTACACAACAATATCCCTCATGAACATTGATGCAAAAATACTCAATAAAATACTGGCAAAACGAATCCAAGAATACATCAGAGAAATCATCCACCATGACCAGTAGGCTTCATCCCTGGATTGCAGGGATGGTTTAACATACGAAAATCTATCAACGTGATCCACCATATAAACAAACTGAAAAAGAAAAACCATATGATCATCTCCCTAGATGCCGAAAAAGCCTTCGACAAAATTCAACACCCTTTCATGATAAAGATCTTGGAGAGATCAGGGATAACAGGAACATACCTAAACATAATAAGAATATACAGTAAACCAACAGCCAACACCAAACTGAATGGAGAGGAGCTTAAGGCCATTCCTCTAAAATCAGGAACAAGACAAGGCTGCCGTCTCCATATCTCTTCAATATTGTACTTGAAGTCCTAGCTAAAGCAATAAGACAACAAAAGGAAATCAAGGGGATCCGAATTGCAAAGAAAGAAGTCTAACTTTCTCTATTTGCAGATGATCTGATAGTTTACATATGCGACCCAATAAACTCTACCAGGGAACTCCTACAGCTGATAAACACCTTCAGTAAACTAGCAGGATACAAGATAAACTCAAAAAAAATCAGTAGCCCTACTTTATTTAGTCGACAAAGAGGCTGAGAAAGAAATCAGAGAAACATCACCCTTTATAATAGCCACAAGCAACATAAAGTATCTTGGGGTAACGCTTACCAAACAAGTGAAAGACCTATATAGCAAGAACTTTGTGGCTCTAAAGAAAGAAATTAAAGAAGATACCAGAAAGTGGAAAGATCTCCCATACTCTTGGATAGGTAGGATAAATATAGTAAAAATGGCAATCTTGCCAAAAGCAATCTACAGATTCAATGCAATCCCCATTAAAATCCCACCACAATCCTTCACTGACCTTGAAAGGATAATAATCAACTTTATATGGAAAAACAAAAGACCCAGGATAGCTAAAACAATCTTATACAATAAAAGAACTTCAGGAGGCATCACCATCCCTGACTTTAAGCTCTACTACAGAGCTATAGTTCTGAAAACAGCCTGGTATTGGCATAAAAATAGACAGGTAGACCAATGGAATCGAATTGAATATCCTGATATTAACCCACCCACCTATGAACACCTGATTTTCGACAAAACAGCTAAAAGAATACAATGGGGCGAGGAAAGCATCTTCAACAAATGCTGCTGGCACAATTGGATGAGGGTATGTAGAAGACTGCAGGTAGACCCATGTCTGTCGCCATGCACAAAAGTCAAGTCCAAATGGATCAAAGACCCCAACATCAATCCAGCCACATTGAATCTCTTAGAAGAGAAAGTAGGAGGTACCCTTGAACAAATTGGTATAGGAGACCGCTTCTTGAACATAACTCCAGGGGCACAGACACTGAGAGAAACAATTAATAAATGGGACCTCTTCAAACTTAGAAGTTTCTGTAAGGCAAGACCAAACGGCAGCCCATAGACTGTGAAAAGATTTTCACCAATTCTACATCTGACAAAGGGCCGATCTCCAAAATATACAAAGAACTCAATGAATGAGTCGATAAAACACCAAAAAACCCTATTAAAAAATGGGGTACAAAACTGAAGAAAGAATTCTCAATAGAGGAAATCAAAAAGGCTGAAAGACAATTAAGAAAATGCTCCACATCCTTAGCTATCAGGGAAATGCAAATCAAAACAACTTTGAGATACCATCTTACTCCTGCCAGAAAGGCTAAAATTAGAAACACTAATGACAACTTATGCTGGAGTGGATGTGGAGAAAGGGGCACACTCCTCCACTGCTGGTGGGAGTGCAATTTGTACAGCCATTTTGGAGATCAGTATGGCGGTTCCTCAGGTAAATGGGAATTAGTTTACCACATGACCTGGCAATCCCCCTCTTAGGCATATACCCAAAGGATTCACATCCATGCAACAAAGACTATGTTCATAGCAGCACTATTTGTAATAGCAAGAACCTGGAAGCAACCTAGATGCCCCTCAATTGAAGAATGGTTAATGAAGATGTGGCACATCTACACAATGGAATACTATGCAGAAAAAAATAATGGTATCTTGAAATTCGTAGGCAAGTGGATGGCACTTGAAGAAATCATTCTGAATGAGGTAACCCAGTCACAAAAGGAGGAACATGGTATGCACTCATTCATATATGGATCTTAGACCTAGAGCAAAGGATCACCAGCCTATAATTCACACCACCAGAGGAACTAGGATACAAGGTGTATTCTAAGAGATTCTTATAAAGTCCCTCACAGAAGGGGGAAGGGACAAGTCCCCCAGAGCACATGGGAAGTGGGGGGGGGCATTGAACGGAGAGAGAAGTAGGAGAAAGAGAGGGGGAGGAGAGGAAAGCACGTGCGACTAGGAAGATTGAGTCAGGGTAGGAATAGAAGACAGGAGACAGAGAGAGAGAGAGAGAGAGAGAGAGAGAGAATATAAGAGAGGGAGCCATTATCCACCATCTTGGAGCCCTCATGAAGTACCTGTTGGAAACAGAAGTAAACACCAATCCTAAACACTGAGTCGAAGTAGAATCCAGATGCAGAGGGAGAGGACAAAACCAGGTTGCAGAAACACATAGAGACAGCTGACCAAAACAAGGAGGAGCTAACGGGCCCCCAGAATGATAGCTGAGAATCTAGCATGGGACTGACTGAGGCCCCCCCTGAATATGGTCTCAGCCAGAAGGACTGAGCAGTCTAAGGGACCTCAGATAGTGGAACCAGGATGCATTCCTGGTGCACAAAAGGACCTTGCGGACACATCCCCCATGGAGGATACTGCCTTAACCTAGAGACAGGAGAGAAGTCCTAGTCCCTACTTCAAATGACTTGACAGATCTATAGGACCCCACCAGGATGGGCACTGCCCTACATGTGGAATTGGGGTAGGTGGATGGGAGGGGAGGGTGGTCAGGGTGCATGTGAGGGGACAGAGAGGGTAAGAGGGAGGGAGGAACTGGGATCGACATGTAAAATAATAAATAAAAAAAAAGTATAAAAAATTGTTATTCTCTCTCTGTCTATGTCTCTCTGTCTCTCTCTCATGCTGGGCATCAGACCTAGACCTAGGGCTTTACATATACATGTAAGCAAGCAAACACTTATATCTCCAATCCTCAGTCTGAGCTCTTTAGAAAACTATTTGTTGCAAATACTTAACACAAAAATTACCAATAAAAAAATCACCAATTTCTTACTAAATGAAAGTTGAGTTTCATAACAGCGATTAAGATCTTTCTCTATTAGACTTCAATTTTAATTATCCTTTTATTCTTTGTATAAAGACAACTGTTAGCCAGGTCTTACATTTTTAGCCCATGCAGTTTTGTCCAAACTGTTACACTTGCTTGTATTTGATTGACAGTCCTGTTTTTCTTTTCTTTCTTTTTTTTTTTTTTTTTTTTGGGTGGAACTATAGATTTAACTCTAGGGTTCACAAATGCCAGTGAGGTACATCCCTACAATAATAAAAAGCTAGCAAAAAGCTAACTCAGATGCCATTGCCATTTCTTCCTAGTTATCATGGCCAAAATGTTGGCTTCACTCTTGTGACAGACTATGGGTTTAATAATCAGCTAGTTAGACACAGATTTGCTCCCCCCCCTTTGTCTTATTAAAACCATCTGATACTGTCTTAATGACTCTCCTTCCATACATTTTAAAAAAAATAGGGATTATGCTCTTTGGATCTTTATGTTTCCAAGTTCAGTACTCTGTAAACAAGTTAGGTTAATATGTACTATTAAACATCATAAATAGTCAGCAAGCCTGCCTTTGTAACATAAGTATTCCTCTTCTAGTTTTGGAGCTGCTAACTAAAAGTATAATTGCATTAAAATCATAAATGCAAATGAAAATAAGGAACGTTAACATATTTATTCTTCAAGTCTGAGACTGTTTTTTTTGAAGCTGTTTAATTTGTCTTGTTTTTGTTTTTTGAGACAGGGTTTCTTTGTGTAGTCTTGGTTGTTCTGGAACTTGCTCTGTAGACCAGGCTGGCCTTGAACTCCCAAAGATCTGCTTGCCTCTCCTCCTGAGTGCTAGGATTAAAGGCGTGCACCACCATGCCTGACTTGTTTAATTATTCTTACCTGTTACTTCATCACTGTGTGTAGACAGGAGTTTCCAGATCAGGTAAGGACCGCCAAGGATAACAGCAAAGAACAGAAATATTGGCCAGGATTTTGCAGAGTTGGCTGCTTGATCCTCAGCGCCAAGGCAAGCTACAGTTCTTTCACTCTCTGCCCATAGGTCCTCATTCTCAGAGCCTCTTCTTAAACCCATCATCCACTGCAACCGTCTATACAGGTATCTTATAGTCCTAACTAATGCGAAGGCGGAAAACACCTTTGTGAAGTGTATTTTTAACCGGGAAAAATGATTTGCTACATCCAAAACAGCCCTGAAACTGTTATAGACAGCTGAAAAGGTAGCATCCATCATCATGCTGACAGAGGCGAACGCATGCACAATACTCTCAATGGACTGAAATGCACCTCTACTGCTTTCTTCAGCTTGCTGAACAAATCTACTGGGTGGAAGGTCATCTACACGGAGGCGGTTAAAGCCCAAACCATTATATCCATAACTGTAAGGGCTATAGCTTCCATAAAATGAATTTCCATAGGCTCCGTATCCAGAAGAAAATGAACTGTAAGCAGGTCTGAAAGTGTTTACGCTGCTGCTCCCCGTCTGCTGGGATGGCCTGGGAAGAATAGGTGGGGGCACTCTGGTGAGTGCTGGTTGTCCAGGTCTTGTCAGTAAAGCAGGGCCCAAATCAGCAGATCTAAAACACACACACACACAAAAATTCTGAGTTACATAAGTACAAGCTTTTAATTATGGCTACTGTATTTTTGTTTGTTTTACAATTTCCATTTCTTTTTAATTATATATAACTTGCTGTGAAAATCGTTTTTTTAGAAATGCATTTTTTTTAAATTAAAAAACTGTGTTTACTATATTAAGCTTAATGACTTTTAAAGTCTGCATGCTGGGTGCTGGAGAGATGGCTCAGCAGCTAAGAAGAGCACTGGCTGCTTTTCCACAGAACAGATTTGGTTTCCAACACCCATATGGCAGTTCACAACCATCTATAACTCTAATAACTGGAGTCACAGGGAGTTAACCCTTTTCTCACCTCCATGGGCACCAGGCTTTAACACTTTTTTGTTTGTGACATGCTTAAATGTATCTAGGGTCCACAGCACTTTTTTTTTCCCCCTATTACAACCAGCATAGTAAAGACGACTAAGCAAGCCTATGAGAGAAGGACAAATGGTGTGCTCTCAATGCTGGACTTTCCTCCACTCAATCTTCTTTTGAAAAAAATTAAACAGAAAAAAAAAAAAAAAAAAAAAAACCCCTGGCAGAATACATGCACATTTTTAAGTAGATTCAATAACTACTATGATCTTATATTTACTTTTTCTCTCTTGTTCACAAATTAACTTCTAAACTTGATACATTAACTCTAAATATCTGAGAATACATTACTCAAGAAAAATACACTTCAGACCAAATCATGAAACTAACCCATCACTGAAAACTAAAAGTTTCATATATTTTTCAATTAATATTACAAACTAATCCATTTCCCAGAAATGTTCTAACAACTTTGAAGTAAAACTCAGTTAATTTAAAACTCACTCATTTAATATAAAATTCAATGTTTGTGTTTTTTAAGTACTCCCAGTTATACTATCATTATATTTGATTTAATTTTGTAACACTTTAATTTCCTCCAATGATATCCTAAATTCACAGGGAGGGCAATGAGAATGTGGACAAATTATAACAACACATATGAAAACACTATTCAACCCACTGCGGATCAAGCCAAGTTAGTTTGAAAATATCCTATATTCACTAGTAGCCACTTCCAGTTTCTTTCCCATCTCTAACTTTTGTTAAACACAAATCTACTTTGTCTCTACAACCTTGTCTATCCCAGATATTTCATACAGAGTTGATTTTAGTTATTGAAGTAGTTACATCCTTAAAAGATTACTCCTGGGAGTAATACAAATATATAGGTTCCTGCAGGCTTCAGGTCACTTTGTTTGTTTGAGATAGCTCATTCTGGCCTATTAACAGTCACTGTGTAGTGCTGACCTCTCTAGTATAAGAACTAAATGCATGTGCCACCATGCCTATTGTTCAGGTCATGTTTTCATCAACCAATTAGTACATATACTTGCTTCCTGTGCATTTCTGCTAAAGATATACTGTTAATGCATCCATAACTCACAGCCATCAGCACAATAACAAATCTAATACACACTTTTTCTTTAGTAAAGCCTATCACAGCCATCTTGTACTTTGGAATGTTAGACAGAACTATACTTGGGAGCCACTTTAAACAGTGGAATCAATTTGTTACTGTGAAAACCCCAGAACTAAACAGACTATTAAATGGGCATATGTCCACAGTGTGAGCGCTGAAGTAAGTTTGAAGACTGCTTTACTCCACTTCAGCTGGGATGACAGATCTTCCTGTCTTGTACATGCATACAAATGACCAGGTTATAAATGAACTTTGGTGGGTTGGCAAATGTGAAAACATGCAATCTACAGATAATGAAGGTCTATGGTAGTCTCATAGTACGTGTGTTTTGTGACTTGTTTCTTCCCCTTCAGCATGTCTCCAAGGCTCACTGAATGCAGAATGTATGATGAGACTCATTGACTTGTTGGGAACTGAGGCTGGGTCTGTGATCAATTATGGAACGAATCTTGGCTGAACTTTGGCTGTTTCTTTTGGCTGTACATTTAGAGCCTTCAGTTATATCACAAAGTTTTGGTGATTTAGTAACTAGCCCTATTTACTAAGATCAGCCTAGCACATAACCATTAGCCCCATTACTATAGTAACCTTTCTTATTTGATCTTTCCACCATGCCAACATCCATTCTTTGTGATTTTCTATATTCTGCCTGCAAGATCACCTGGTCTTCAACTATTCTTCTTACATCCCCTGCCCCCTCTCCTATATCCTGCTCTGCTGGCCTATATAAGCTCTGGGTAGAAAAATAAAATTTTCCACTTGATCAGAATCCTATCTTGTGGTCAATCTCCTAGTTTCTTGCCCCCATCTCCCATCCCTTGGGTCTTTGGGTTCTAGGTTGAAGTCTCTCAGGTAGAGGCACTGACCGACTGCAGAATGTATGAGCTCAGGTGAGCACCTCTTCCCCATGCCTCAAGGCAGAGTGCTTCAGATCTGACATTTTGGAACATGTGCATTCATACAGTAAGGTGTCGTAGGGATGGATCCAAGTCAAACATGAATTACACTCGTGTTTTATATGCTTTTATACTCATAATCTGATGGTTTTAGTATGCTTGTAGTTTTCATCTGTATCTGAGACAAATTTTTGCAGTGCTGGATGGCCTAGACCTGGCTATGTAGCCTGGGCTGGCCTTGAACTCATGGCATTCCTCTCATCTGAGCATATCTATTTAATTTGTAATTCATGTATTTTTTTGAGACAAGATCTCACTATTTACTACAGGCTGGCTTAGGACTAGTCTAGGTTGACTTCAAACTCATGACCCCTCTGTTTCAGCCTTCCAAGTGCTTCAATTACAGGTATGTTACATTCAGCTTATCACCTGGCATTATGTCATTACTCATAAAAGTTTCAGATTTACAAACACTCATTATTCATTATAGCCAAGGCATATTTATTCATATATATATCAGTTGGGGACATCTGGGCTGTCTCCATGCTTTGACTATTTTGAGTAATGATAATAATTAAGACTACATACAAGATTTGTAGGACATTTTTGTATCTATTGGGTCTATACTCATAGTGAATTGCTGAGTTGTATATTAAATATTATATTTTATCTTTGCAGGAACTGCCAGACTAGTTTCCAAAGCAATCATACCATAACTTTACATTTCCACCAGCAGTGTTTGAAGGTTAGGGTTCCCCACATTCTTGTTAATGGCATTGTTAAGTAGTTGACTTAGTGACTGAGGAGTGGCATCTCACTGTGGCTCTTTTGTTTGTTCTGAGACGGGGACTCATGTAGCCCAGGCTGGCCTCAAACTTACTACAAAACCAAGGATGATTCTGAACTTCTGATCTTCTTGCTTCAACCTCCTAAGTGCTGAGATTACAGGCATGTGCCACCTCATCCAGTTTCACCCTGGTTCTAATTTGCATTTCTCTGAAGTGTAGTAATATTAAGCATTTTTTTTATGTCCTTTTGGTCACTTTAAAATCTTACCAGTAGAATCAGCTACATACTTGCCTCATTTAACATTTTAACATTGTTTTCTTTGTGTGTGTGTGTGTGTGAATATAGGGAATAGGCACATGCCATGGTGTGCATACGGAGGTCTGAGCCAGCTGTCAGCTTGTAGGCGGTATATTCTCTCTTTTCCCCATGTGGGTCTCAGAATGTGGCTGAAGTCACTGGGCTTGATGACAGGCATTCCATTTTTACCCACTAAGTTACCTCACCAGGTTACTTTCTCCACAATTAAATGTGCTTTTTATCACTGTCTTTTTAGTATTTATCTCCATTAATGAGTTAGAAGAGTTAAAATGTCTTTAAAAAACATTTTTTTTTAATGTCTTGTCTGTGTGTCTGTATATGCATTAGGTGCACTCAGTGCCCATAGAGGCCAGGAAAGGGTGTTTAATCTCTTGGAACGAGAGTTACAGAGGGTTATGACATGCCATATGGTTGCACCAAGTCTGGGTTGGGTCGTCTGCAAAAGTAGTAAGTACTCAAGTGCTGAGCTCTCTCTCCAGCTCCCCTGAAATGTTGAAATGTATGTTTTTTTTTTTTTTGTCTTTTAAAACTGGTTTTGGAATAAAAAATTTAGTTAATTTACAGATTACATTTGACTTGTTCTTTCCAGTCTATTCTAAAGTAGGTCAATCAGGGCTGGCAAGAAAGCTCAGAGTATAAAAATGTTGCCTTGCAAGCCTGATGATGTCAGTTAGATCCCTGGAACCTCAGTGGGGGAAGCAAACTGACTCCCAAAGTGGCACTCTGATCTCCACACATGTGGCTTGGATGTGTATTTCCCCATTCACACTTGATTTTTGTTTATATCAAATATTTCATGTCTAATTACAAAATGGTAACATCTGACATCAGGATAAAGCTTTAACTTAACATTATAAAAAAGTTACTAGAAATCTTACAAATCTTAGGTGGTTACCTAAAACCAAACAAACAAATATACAAACAAACACACAAACAAACAAAAACATGAAGCAACTGAATCCAACATTTTAAAAAGGAAAGAGAACTTGAAAAGGGTCAAATAACAAACTACACATTTAGACTCTAACAAAGCAGTTCTGATCCAAAGTGAAAGAAAGCATAGGGGAAAAGCTGATGTGTTTAGATTTGGTACAGATAAATACACTCAGGAAACAACACAATGTGGTTGGAGGCTGTGTTACAGGCCTACTGACTTCTGGGTCAGGAAACTAGAAGTAACAAAATGAAGTGTTCTACTCAAGTGAGATTGAGAGTCAGGTCCTTGGTGCCAAAAAAGATACTACAGAATTTGCTGTCAACTTTTTTTTTTTTTTTTTTTTTAAAGAAAGTCACATACCTTCCCAGAACAACACAGGTTATTGCCATTATTCTCGGCTGCCTTCCAGAACTAGATAGTAAAATCCTGTTGCTAAAGAGCAGTACATTCTGGTTTCAGACTATGTAGAAATCAAGCTGTAACTCACATGAAAACTGTTCCCTGCTCAATAGCTTCTGTGCCACAAGATGGTATGCAGGTCATGGGGTGGCAGGTGGGGG